GGCCCTCAGCTTACACAATAAGTCCCGTCCTAACAAATTCATAGGAGTATGGGCAGACAACAAAAAGGAATGTTCACATGACAAGGGTCCCACTTGGACTCGAGTAGGGGCACTCCTGCTAGTTTTGAACAATTCCCCCCCCACTCCCATCACATTCTCAGTTCCTTCTTTAATTAGACCTGCACACTCAGGAGTTGTAGATAACATAGACATAGTAGCACTGGTGTCAATTAAACAATCATATCATTGCTCTCCTACCTGAATTGAGGCAACAGGGTCGCTCTTATTGCAATTTATAGTTAACACAGGGCAGGCTGGGTGAAGGTGGTCGGTCGGGTCATTGAGTCCTTCTTTCCTGTGAGTAGTTTTTGACACCGGCTCCTCACGTCACTGGTCCAGAGGGGGCCCCCGTTCTCAGATGGCTCCGATGTTCATCCCCTTCCTCTGGGGACACTCATTTGAAGTGTCCAGGTTGTTTACAGTAGTAACATACTTCGCCAGCCCTTTGAACTGTGGACGACCCTTCGCCCTGGTTTCTCTGACCTAATCCCTTTTGTTGAAACCCTCCCTGGCCCCTTCCTCTGTTCCATTCTCTTCCTGACATGCTGTGCATATTTCCCTCAACCATTGCAGCTACTAGTTTAAAATCTTCCTTTCTCCCCTTCTTTCTTTCCCTCTCCTTTCTCCCATCCAACACATAGCTTGCTATATTTCTTATCTCTAACATACTCTTCCTTTCCCACCCTGGAGTATACTTGCAGAAATGCTTCTTGATATCGGGAGCACTCTGGTTTACAAAGGCTGATACCAGAGAAGGCACATGCTCGGGTTTATCTACATCGAGACAAACGTATGTCTTGGCTGCCTCACGCAAACGGGTAAAGAAGGAATCTGGATGCTTTTCCTGTCGTTCTTCTTGGGTCCCTGTTTGCATGCATGGAATTTTCCCCAATTCACGGGCTTTTTACTCGCTTCATCAAAGCCTGCTAGTAAATCATTCCGGGCTTCCCTCAGGGATGCCCTTCCCCTGGGGGTGTTGTAATCCCAATTAGGTTCATTAGAAGGCCAAGGATCTCTGTTTGCTGCTGAGGCAACAGCCTTGGCGCAGTCTAAAACTTTAGCCCGCTCGTCTGGGGTCAGCAGGGTATCCATGAGTTCCTGCATGTCTGACCAAGAAGGGTCATAAGTATGGACTATACGCCGAATAGTCCGTCCTACTTCATCAGGTTTTTCCCGAAAAGAAGGGGTCTGTTGTTGCAAAATGAGGAGGTCCCCTCAGGTGAAAGGCACATGAATTAGAGTAGGGCGAACCTGGAAGCTGCCCCCTTCATCCACAAACGGGACCGGGTAGGTTCACAAAGGAGTCTGAACCATTGCATTCAAGTGCTTCTTCCCCTGGCTGGATGGAAATGCCTTCCCCACAGGACCTCGGCTCCAGGTCCAGACTGGAGAAAAGCCTCTGGAGGCAGGGAGCCCGGAGCTCGGAGCCAGTGCTGACGCCACGGGGGAGCTGCAGCGCTCTCATCAGGGGGCAGGGGTTGACCGGGGACAGGGAGAGCAGGGTAGAGAGGCTCAGGTCCGTCTTCAGACTCCACAGAGACTGAAATCAGAGGATCATAAGGAGGCGGAGTGGTAGAGTAAAGAACCGGTTTTGGGGCTTTTTCGGCCAATTCAGCCCACAGGTACCAATAATCCATCTGTTTGTCGGGGACGGACCCCAAGGTCACGGTGGGCCAGGGTACGGATCGGATCAGGCGGGATTAACAGCGAGGGGTCAGAGCGGTTCGGGACACGTGCAGTTTCAAACAGATCAGATTTTATTTACTTACGCCACTGATGGTGATGTAGCGTAGGCGGAAAGCTTGCTTGTTCAGTTACAGTGATATAACGAAAAGGGGGTCTGTTGGTTCACGAGGTTCCTGAGCCAAGCCCTTGCTTTCTAGCCCGGAGGCTAGGTGCGGCTGCCTGACTCAATAGTCCCAGAACTGGTTGACAGCTCATACAAAGGGAACAACAGTAACTCATTTTTGGTCTGAGAAGAACAGTCGACAAGAAGAACGAAGAGGAACCGGAGGTGAAGTCGGGTCGGTAACGGCAATGTTGAGGATAAAGCTGTATATGAAGTCGATGTCGGAGCAAGGTTCAGTAACGGTCAATCAACACAAAGACAAAGGTCGGTCAAGCGAAGATAGGCTATAAAGCCACAGCGCGGAGAGACTAGCGGACCTCTGGCAGGCGAACCAGGGCTCTAGACCTAAGAGGCTCTCCTGAGAGGCAGTCTCTGCAGTAGCAGTCTCTGCTCTCAGGTTGGGTCTGGTCTCCTTCTGGGCGGAAACTTACAAGCCTTTTATATGGTTTTAGGTGGCCAATCAAGTGATTCTCCTCGTGGAACCTTCTGGTCAGATTACCTCATTCTTCAGGCAGAACTAGGCATGCACATGGTAACAAGATAAGTTACCTCATGGCTCAGCCATGATTGACAAGCCAGAGGTCGCACAGGGGACACGTGCTGGGCATGCTTGTCAGCTCTCTGGGGTTCTCCATTGCTTGTCTGTGCATGTCAGTACTTAACCCTGTGTTAACCAGCACTGTTATCAAATTTGGTTCTGACACTGTTGAGGTTTTAAAGCTACCAATTCCATTCGAAGGAATGCCAAACGAGACTGATCAAATGAGCCAAATTTCGGCCACCGTTTATCTGGAGCACCTTATTGAGTTAAGACAGGCCACTCCTGTGTACACAAAATATAAGCACGCTTCCTGCCCGTGCCAGACTGCACCGGCAGATTCCCTTCTCCCTAAACCTGGAGAAGCCTCCCTAAAGGAGATCCCAGTGGGACGTTTGAAGCCGATTGTCCCATCCTCCCGAGACTTAAGCACTCTGGTCTATAAATTCCCGGGAACAGCTACCCCTCACGGCGCGCCCCACTTACCCGACGCCCGGACCAAGCCCTCTAAATGGTGACAAACTCACCTATGCTGGCTGGGAAGGTTGGTCCGAAAGATGAGCAGCCAGGTCAGCACACAAGGGGTCCCATCTGGGTCACCAAATTGTTGAGGAGTTCGTGACCCCTTGCGAAGCTGTTCCCAAAGACACAGAGTTGCTGTCAGTCTCAAATTTTATTCAGCATGCTGGGTACCCTGAGCAAGCTCAGAGGCCCTGAATAAAACTGTTAGAGGCGATTTATAGTTTACAGACAAGATGCGCGCGCAGGTGGGAATTTTCCACTGTGAAAGAAAACAAGATATCAGGTCAGTGTGAGAAAACTCTTAACTGTTTCAAACTGGTTTTTGGCTGCATGCTAACTAATAGGGAGGAGGGCTATATATCCTTGATTGTTTCAGACTTCAAGGCGACTAGGCCTGTGTCCTTGAAGTGCTGAGTCTGCTTTATAGTTAACTTCTACACTATTATTTATGGTCTTGTTAGTAAATTTCTACAGCGACAGGGCCCAGGAGGGGCTACAGGTCCCTGGGGCCACTGCTGGGAGCTGCAGTTAAGTAGGCTGGAGCCTAGAAGCCAAGTCCAGTATTGTGGGCCTGTGCTCAAAGGGCCCAGTGGGAGCAAGAGTGGAGGGCACTGATAAGGCTGAGCCCCCTACAGTAGAGTGTGATGATGCAGTAACATCTTCGAGGCTTGGTGTAAGGTTGGAACAGACCCACACAATTAGCCCTTAAGGCTACAGACACCTTGAAGAGGCACGGTCAGGCCGAGAAAGCCTATTGAGCCTGATGGCATAGTTGAGACTAGTGGGGTGCAGGGAACTCTGTTAGAGATTTAGCAGGACTGGGGCTCACTCTAAGACCCATAGGAAGCCTCCCTTATTCAATCTTTAACAAGATCAAGGCATGGCAGGTGAGTGTTGAGTCTTTGAGGAGCTGAGCTACCTCAGGTTCATTTGGATCTGGACTTATGAGGTGAAGGAGGCATGTACGCATAACGGTTTGAACAGAGAATGAATTTATTGACTTATGTCCCTTGGTTGACAGAGACACAGGTTGTATTTGAACTTGACAACACAACGTAATGGTTACAATGGCTTGCAAGCTGAAACGATCGATAGCGGGGTGGGATTTTATGTCGGGGGAGCGGTGGCGGGAGACAGCGGCGAACGGAAAGAGGAACAGTTGATCAGGCCGGTGCATACAACTTAACAGTCAGTTGTCCCTGTCAGTTCTCAAAGCTTCTCCCCGAGCCTCGATGGGAGGAGGCCTTTATACAGGGAGTGACGTGGTTTAGCCAATCATGTTTGGCCGTTCAGCCCTTATGTCATTACCTTATTTGGCACAGACGCACTTACTGAGGCAAGTGCCTCTCTGAGGTGACTGTTGCTATGAGGTTACTATGGGGGTCAGGGAGGTGCATGAGGCACAGAGCCAGCTTTTCAGCATGTCAGTGAGCAATTGAGGGAGGGCAGTATTAGAGGCAGAGCCAAACAGGACCCTCATGGCCACCAGCAGGCATCATGACCAACCCTGGGGCTTGGACCTGTCACAGCTAATCCCACATGTATTGAGTCAAGGGTAAATAAACTTGCCCAAGATGGAGCTATGCCTCCTCCTTTTAAGGCAGCATAAAACAAGAACAGGGAACTATGCCTGAGTGTATATGTTGGATGACATTTAGAGCTGGTGGTGATTTACATGGCTGATTAACTCTAGGACCATGAAAACACAGGTGCTGAGGAAAATTTAAAGAAAGAATCCTTTGTAGGTGTTTCTTCTTCAGAGGTCAGTAAGTATTTTACCAAGGAAATATATTGAAAGGTTTAGTCATCCCCTGAAGAATTATTGTATTTAATGATTGAGTCTCTAAAATATATCTGTATATATTTTGATCTTAATTTTAATGCAGGGTCTTATCTCTGTCTTTGCCATGAGTGTGTTTCCAGTGTCCATGTTGGAAATTAGTGAAACATGACCAGCACTTGCTGATTAAACTATTATGATTTTTCACCAGGATTTTCATTTTACCTTCTAATAAAAACTCTCTCCTATAGGTTACAGAAGCTTTTCACCAAAGCATTAGTCTTTCAGCTACTGGTTTTTTCAGGTAAATTTTCTTTTTTTCCCTTAAAATGTTAGTGACTGTGGCAAAGTAGGTATCCCTGCTAGCCGCAGCTAGCCCCCCACCTGCATCTGGGCATGCCACCTGCCTGTCTCGCCTGCCACGCCTTGTTGGAATAATAATATGCTGTTAAATAAGGCAGGAGGCTGCCCATTACTGCACCCCCATATTTGGGGGTGTTTGCAGCTCCATACCTCCCCTACACCACGGCCCAAGCCTCGCAGATGGCATCCCTGGTCTACAGCCAGAGCATGCTTAGGCCACACCGTCAGGCCTGTCACACACACAATCATACCACCCACCTCTCACTTGGGCCTCACTCACCCCACCTTCTCTCACAGAGTCCTTTCTCGAGTCAACAATTTATGACGCCTTGCTTCCTCTTAGAGTGGACACCCTTTGGCCATAGGCTTAGCTAGTCCATTCCTTGGGTGGCAGACGTACCATCTGTTGGGTATCTCCCGCGACCCTTACCGGGGTAGTGGCCAGCTAATTACCCGACCAGGTCTATGCACACTCGGGCCCCTTTTGGGGCAATACTCAGGGTCTGTATGTGTACTGGGCCCTCAGCTTTCTATTTCTTCTCCCCCTCTGCACAGGGCTCCACAACGCCCCCTCTGCTTGGGGTCTCGGGGCTTCCCTCCTTAGGTGGGTTCAGGTGGCCGTAGCCATGCCTGGTGCCCTCTACCTCCGTTGTCACCTGACCCACCCAAAGGTGGGAGCTGGGGTTAATGTACCCCAACCTGCCTTTCACTGGGGTGGTAACTGGCCTGGCATTTCCTGCACCCCTTCTCCAGCATGCAGCTGGGTTGGGTAGAAGCTATGCCCATGTGGCCTGAGGCAGCATGCAAGAAGATAGTGTGGCACCAGCTCAGCCCCACCACATGTCAGGGACTATGGGCAGGGGAGGGGGAGCAGGGTAAAGGGGGCCATGGGTTATCTGGGCCTGATCATGTTGGTGCTGTGCCATGTTCCCCGCTTCTCCCTGTATCTTCCTCCCCTGCCCTGAATCCCTGGCACATGGCCAGCCTAGGCCAGGCCAGTGCTGTGCTGTATTTCTGCACACAGCTTTGGGCCATGTGCATGCAGCTGGCATTGCTCCTGCCCAACCCAGTCATGTGCTGGGGACTTGGGGTTGGATAGGAGCCACACCAAGGTTGGGCAGGAGCCACATCAGCTGCTCCAACTGTATCCATGTGGTACAGCCCAAAGTAGCACACAAAAACACAGCATGGCACCATGTTAGTGATGCCCATGCCTCTACCAGGACCTGGCCTGGCAGAGCCTGGATAACCTGCAGCTCTTGGCCCTCCTCCTGTACCCCCTCCCCTACCAGTGGGGTGAGCCTTACCTGAGGTTCGACTTGCTGGGGGTTGAGCTGTCTGGTCTATGAAGAGCTGCAAGGGTCAAACTGAGTGCAGACAGCCTCACTGAGCAGAAGCCTGACCACAAGCTAAGTGCCCCCTGCCTTGGAATGTACACTGGGAGCTGCGTGGTGGGGCAAGGGAGTGGCTACCACTGCTGCAGCCAGCTATGGCATGGGGAAGGGAAAAGGTGAGAGGCACCAAAAGCCAAGGCAGCCACAGGCTGGATATAGTTCTCCTTCAGGGGAGCAGCCACAGGCTCGATTGAATCATTTCGTGGTCCAGATCCAGCCTGCAGGCCATATTTTTGCCCACTTCTGTCTTAGATGGTCATCACAGGGGCACACCACTTCAAAGACAAATAGACAGACCAATAGAAGACAAATACAAACCAAATACATTCTCTTTGTATTTCTAGAAACTCAGGTTGGTATTTTGTAGGCCTGTGTCCCTGGGACAAGGGCTCCACACAATGTATTAATGAAAATAAATTTTGGAATAACGAATTGTTTGTAATTGTTTGAGAATTGTTAAAGTTCTATGTATGTGGCACTTTACATGTGTGTTAAGGAAGGTGTTGTAGTTCTGCCTGAACTCCTCCTTTCTGGATACTCATGAGACGGATATGTTTGGACCTATATCCTGGACCCATTAACTTCTAAGCTCTTGGGGCCTAGGCAAGCTCCAGCCACACTTTCTAGCACTGGTCTATTAGACACATTTCCCAATCATAGGCCCCACAGTCCAACTGCCTTGGATCACCAGACCCAATGTAAAATAAAGAGAATCAAGGCATACTACAAAACACTGCAGTAAATCAAATGCACACTCTCAAGATTTTCATTCTTGTTGATATCTCCTTTTCTAATTTAACTTTTTAAAGTTGTGTGACAATAAAAACAAGTTAGACCCACTAACTTTTTAGAGAACCAATCATTCCTTTCTTTGCAAATAGAGCACAAGACATAGATTTAGCAAAATAGGCAGTCAAAAGATTCCCATTCCTCAGACCATGTTCCATTGTGTTCTCTAAACCTCCCAGAGTTTGTTTTCTAAAAAGACAGTTCTAACCTTGTATCATTGTTCTACAACTCTCATTCCTTCACGTTCAGATAGAGTAAAAATGGTACTCTCCTAGTCTGCAACCATCCCATTGTTCTGAAATCTTCCCATTTGAATAGAAGGCCATGTAAGTTAATGACACTCCAATGTTGATTTATAATGACTTATTACTTTACACAGAGGCATTCAATATTGCAATTTCATAAAATCAACTAGAATCCATAATTTCATGTGGAGCAAGTTCCTCAAACTGTCATAAAAAGATTTTTTTTCCCTTCAACAGAGGCTATGATACAAACATGAACTGGGACAAAGGAGAAGGTCGACCATTTGAATATTTTGTTTATGGAGCTGCTTGTTCTGAGGTCGAAATTGACTGTCTAACAGGAGATCATAAGGTAAGAATAGCACTATTAAGCCTCATAAAAGCCCTTTAAAGTAGCAAAGTATTTTTTGTCCATTTATATTTATAGAAACTGAGGCAGAGAGAAGTTTTAAGTTCCTTGCTAATCTTCATATAAGAAGTCTTGATTCAAAACTAGTATAGAATGCAACTGTCCTGATTCCCATTCTCCCATCTTTATCACTAAACTATGCTTTCTCTTAAAGCAGAGCAAATAGCTTGTTGTTTTGTGAATTTACAATATTGTTCAAAGTGTTTATATACATTTAGCATCATAGTATTTGAAATAGCATCCCGCAACATGTACTCAAAGGTTTGTGTGCTTGCTTTAAGGATAAAAATTAAGTTTACATACATTTCACATGTGCTAGTACTGCAGAATGAACAAAACTCTTGGCGTACACAGAGGATTGTTCTGGCTCATTCATCATTAATGGACTTACTAACTGAAAACTTGATCCTAAAAATGCTTGCTTATGCATAATTCCAGTGACTTCAGTCAGGCTACTTTCTTGTAACAACTGAACCAAATTCTGTCCTAAGTTTTATTGATTTTTAACACCATTGGTTTTTTTTTTTGTTACCTTCATAATCTGTTGATAATGATGATATATTAGACCAGGGCCATTTATCCCATGGACTGCTGCAGCAGGAGCCACACACCACAGAAGCAGCACTAACTAGGGCCCTGGGCCCTCCAGGCTGCACACCCCATGTGTACACGTGTGGGTGGGTGCTACCCCTCTTCCTCCTCACTGTATTATGCATTTGGGTAGGTGCTCTTACCATATGCATACACAGCCACTCCCCCATGAAGCGTGGTACCCTGCCTCACCTTTAGCTCCCTGCAGCTTCTCCTATGGTAATGTGCTGCAGAACCATTCCAGGCTTCTGGCACTGCCGGATTGTACCATGTTGGGCCAGGTATACAGCAGAAGCCAGAAGAGAGAGGCAGAGCCCAGGGGCCCTGGCTGCTACTGGAGGAAGAGCAACAGGGGCAACAGCAGCCAGGTGGGAGCCCAGGGGTCTGAATGTTTATCCTTTGCAGGCCTCATATGGCCCATGGGCCACCAGCTGGAGTGGACAGCCCTCTATTAGCTAAAAAGGACCGGACATGACATTCATATTACTGAGTGAATTTGCAGGGCTGGCAATTATTAAAAAAAATGTTAACTGAGCAATATTGTATAGATACCATTAACATGAGGTAAACTTGAAAATCTGAAGTCATATTTGTAGTCAGTCTGTTGAGATCCAGTAACATTTCATTAGTTCCCTGAAGCTGATGTGTGGAATGAAACATCATCCTAAAACTGGTAATTCTTCTAGTCTTCAAATAGCTGCACATATATTCCCTAAATGTACAGAAATATGAATGTACTGTCTTACCATGAAACTTATTTACTTAATCCACCATGAAAAAAATCTAATGCAACAAAGTATGAAATCCAACAGAATGTAAGTATCTGAAAGATGACCAAGTTAATAGGGGTGTGTGAAATGGGCTGTATTCAATTCGGATTCAGATTTGGCTTGAACTGGGGGTAGTGATTCAATTTGTTGATTCGGATCACTGTTCCCGATTTTGATTCGGCCGAATCCAAATCTGAAGATTTGATGCTGATTTGGAGAAACAGTGATTCAGCCATAGACACAGCTTTAAATGTTTTTTCTACATACCTCGAGGTACCATGGGGGCTTGTGAACACTGCAGTGCTGGGTCAGATGGAGCATCCTACAGGAGCTCAGGGGGTCCTCCGCATGCTCAGCGATGAACCCAGAAGTGGACTGGAAATACTTCTGGTCCACTTCTGGGTCTGCCGGGGAGCATGTTGCGGGGGGGGCCCTCATGCCCCACAGCTCAGTGATCAGCAGTGGGTGAACCCTGGGTGCCCCCTTAGACCTAGGAGGCACCAGTCGCTGAGCCAGGCTGGGCGCGGGGGGGGG